ATGAATTCATGCTTTGTTGTACAATTAAATGTGGGTGTATGTCTGCTTCTAATCAGCGCGTGTCCACATTGCAATTCGTGGGCATATTGGAATTGGGCAGTGGGTACACGAACTGACCAGAGCACTACCTCTGCGGCTGAAAATACATGCTTGAGATAACAATTGAATCTGTATCTCGAAGGATATCCTTGGAGATATACATTGGTTTTTTATCTCCTGCACGTATTTTCACAAGAAACAAGGAATCCGTCAGAACGCCAGATGTTCATTCATTTTCACAGGATACGCCTCGGGCGTGTATAGGTTTGCCTTGTTACCGTCTGTTTTACCGGGAGAGGGATATTTGTTCACGGTGTATGTGTTCAACTGAATAGTTTTATTGTCCAACGGAAGTTGAAGTGCAGTCAGAACATAGCTTCAGCTCTCACTCGCGATTGCTTTTGGGTAGCTGATGTACAGCATAATCAGGAAGATGCTCATGTCGCCAAGAGGTAAATACATACAATGTCATTCTTAATGATATACATATATATATATATATGTAGATGTATACGTATGTATGTATGTGCGTATGTATGTATGTATGTATGTATGTATGTATGTATGTATGTATGTATGTATGTATGTATATAAATATAGATATTTATATATATATATATATATAATTCAATAATATAATGCCAATTTGTTGGATCAGATTTAGCTAAATGTAAAAATGGATTTTGCACCTCTCCCGTCCCTCTCAGGTGCTTTTATCTTCGGATATTTAATGTACGTTGCTCTGGGAGTGCTCTTTGCCTTCTACTCCGCTCTTTTGGTAAAGTCGTACGCACCGTACGCACGTGGCTCGGGAATTCCGGAAGTGAAGACGATACTCTCGGGGTTTATCATCAGAAGGTATGTGTCTACCTGTAGCGAGTGAGTCTTCTACTCGAAGGCTCAATTGTCGTATTAGCGTATACTCGTATACTCTGCCCTGTTTCATAGCCAGCATACTATTCACAACTGAACTTATCTACCCACCAATCAATACTCGTAGATTTCTAGGCGGGAGTACGCTCGTCATCAAAAGCCTGGGGTTGTGTCTAGCCGTAGGCTCTGGTCTCTCACTGGGAAAGGAGGGTCCCCTAGTACACGTGGCATGTTGTATAGGCAACATATTCTCCCGCCTGTTCTATAAATATCGCACCAATGAGGCTAAGAAACGTGAGATTATGAGTGCGGCTGCTGCTGCGGGTGTAGGGGTGGCCTTTGGGGCGCCTATTGGGGGGGTCTTATTCTCACTGGAGGAGGTCTCGTACTACTTTCCTCACAAAACCATGTGGCGTTCCTTTTTCTGCGCACTCACGGCCGCGGGTACACTCAAGGTATGGTAATCAGTTGACCTTATATATATATATATATATATATATATGCACTTGGCTAGTGCAAGAGATTAAACGAAGAAGGTCCCTCCTTGTGGCATTAACATAATCCTCTGAGACCGTGTGCACCCCGAGGGGACAGGGACGCCCTACGAGTGAGTGACTCAGGGATGAATACTTTCTCTCCGACAGATAGCCCTAGCCCTCGGGGGATACAGATATAGACATAGTCTAGTCTCCTGGGGAAATGAAGTTTTTCCCGGGGTATCCCTTTTAAAGATGATTATTTGGGATCTCCCTTTGAGATGATCCTATCAGCTGATCTTGTGTCATCTCCTTGGGTCCTCTCTATAACGGAGCACAACGCACTACTTTAACTTGGGAACTCTCAATATCTATACAGATATCAGTATAAAGACCCGACTGGCCCGGGGTGCACACATGTAGTAACCCCGATTGGTTTACTTTTAAGGACACCTATTAGATCACACATCATCACCCCTTTCACGCTCATGTCTACCACTGATGAGCATTCACCTGTTTTAGAAAAGTATAGACCTACTAGCAGATTCGTATGACTCTCTGGCCCAGCGTGTCTAGAGGAATATACTTCACACTCACACCTCTACAGAACTTGGCGCAGAGTTTGTGTGTCCATGTTCAGTTCTTATCTTATTTTACTACCTTCTTTAGTTTATAGCCCCTGTAATTAATACTTTTCTATCCCCAAACTATTGAAGGGTGTTTTATACCAAAGATAGAAGAACCGA